TCATAGTCTCTCGGCATTTGTGGAATCTGGAGCTGACACCGAGTTTATGGAGGGGGACCTGGCCAGACAACTCGGCATTAAGCTCCTTCCCTCAAAGGACACCCACAAGGTACTAGACTTAGATGGCCATGAACTCAACCGGTCATCTCTAGTGACAGAGCCGGTTGAGCTAGTGGTGGGTGGAAATCATGCAGAGACTATTTCCTTTTTAATCATTGATTCTCCTCAGGTTCCAGTCATTTTAGGTTTAACCTGGCTAACTAAGCACAACCCACATATCGACTGGCAGAAGTTGGAGGTTTTAGGTTGGGCTACTTCCTGCCTTGATTCCTGTCTACGCTCAGCCAAGTCAGAAGCCTCCATTACGAGTGAGGAGAATGACTATTACCCTGACCTCTCTAAGGTGCCTGTGGAGTATCACGATCTCAGGGAGGTTTTCAATAAAAGCAGGGCCACTGCTCTACCTCCACACAGGCCTTATGATTGTGGGATAGATTTGCTGCCAGGGACCACACCCCCTAGGGGTAGATTATTTTCTTTATCTGCTCCTGAGACTCTCGCCATGGAGAAGTATGTCTCCGAGTCACTTAGAGCTGGCATTATTCGTCCTTCTTCTTCTCCTGCTGGTGCAGGCTTCTTTTTTGTGGGGAAGAAGGATGGTTCCCTCAGGCCGTGTATAGACTACAGGGGTCTTAATGACATCACGGTCAAAAATCGCTACCCCATCCCTCTTATCAACTCGGCTTTTGACCAGATTCAGGGGGCTAAGATTTTTTCCAAGCTGGATCTCCGTAACGCTTACCACCTGGTCCGCATTCGGGAGGGTGACGAATGGAAGACCGCTTTCAATACCCCCAACGGCCATTATGAGTATTTGGTGATGCCTTTTGGGCTCACTAATGCTCCGGCTGTGTTTCAAAATCTGGTTAACGAGGTGCTCAGAGACATGGTTGGACATTTTGTTTTTGTCTACCTTGATGACATTATTATTTATTCTCGGGATCTAGAGTCCCATAGAAAACATGTCAGATCTGTCCTGCTACGTCTGCTTCAGAACCAACTGTTTGTCAAAGCAGAAAAATGTGAGTTTCATGTTAACACAATGTCATTTCTGGGCTTTGTTGTTTCCCCTGATCAGATCTCCATGGACCCCATGAAGGTGCGCGCGGTTACCGACTGGCCGGTTCCAGGGGATAGAAAGCAGCTTCAGAGATTCCTGGGGTTCACCAATTTTTACCGCAGGTTTATCAGGAACTACAGTCAGGTGGCTGCGCCCCTTCATGCTCTCACCTCCTCCAAGATTAGGTTCTGTTGGTCTGATCAGGCTGATCGGTCTTTTAATAGGCTAAAGTCTTTGTTCACCTCTGCACCTGTTCTGGTTTCTCCTGACCCTGAGAGACAATTTATTGTGGAGGTGGATGCTTCCAGTACAGGGGTTGGGGCAGTTCTTAGCCAGGAGGCTAAGGACGGAAAGATTCATCCCTGTGCCTTTTTCTCAAAGAAGCTTTCTGCTGCAGAACAGAACTACGATGTCGGGGACAGAGAGCTGCTTGCAGTGAAGCTGGCTTTAGAAGAATGGAGACACTGGTTGGAGGGTTCAAAGATTCCTTTTCTGGTTTGGACTGATCATAAGAACTTGGAGTATCTTAAATCGGCTAAGAGACTCAATCCTAGACAGGCAAGGTGGGCACTTTTTTTTGGCCGGTTTAACTTTTCTCTATCTTACAGGCCCGGGACCAAGAACATTAAACCTGATGCTTTGTCCAGGGTGTTTGAGGTGGATGAGGAGAGTTCCGGTGGTGCTGAGGAGTTTGTGCTGCCAGAGTCTGTAAGATGTTCCATTACTATGGTTGACATTGAGAAGGAGGTCAGGCAAGCTCTCATTAACCAACCTTCTCCTAGCAGTTGCCCCAGTGATCGTTTATTTGTCCCTGATGGTCTTAGAAGGAAAGTGTTAGGTTTCTGCCATGGTTCCCATTTTTTCTGTCATCCTGGTGTTTCCAAAACCATCAGCTTTGTTCGTTCTCAGTTTTGGTGGCCTTCTCTGTCTGCAGATGTGCGGGAGCTTGTGGCAGCCTGCCCCATTTGCAACCAGTCTAAAACATCCAATAGGCCTCCATCTGGTTT